AAAGCGTCATCTGCGTTAGAGTCTGTGAGTGCTCTCATTAACCGGCAAACTTATGTCAAGCAGGGGTCACCAAACCGCAAAAGGAGATTGCAGAGCTCAATCTCGGAGAGCAGCCTATCAAGGTGCGCCGTGTTCGGAATGCACTGAACCACTGGTAGGCTCATTATGTTCTCACGCCCAACAATTTGGACTTTCGCCTACGAACTGAAGCCCGTTCTTGAAATTTTCCGCAGCTGTACCTGGATTCCCGAAATATACGCTGCACGGAAAAAAGAGGAGTCAGCGCGAGAAGGCCTATACATTCGTGAGTCCCCAATGCCCAGGCGTCAGCTGACAGCGGACACTGCTACAAATGAAGAGACCCCGAGGCAACCGAGCCGTACACACTGGATCAGGCAACGACTCGGTTCACAAAGACCCTCAGCGAGCAGCACACAGGACCGAGGACCGGACGGCAGTGCGTCAGCCAGCCGTCGCTCTCGATCCGGGCAGGAGCACGACAGACCGGACGGTAGTGCGTCAGCCAGCCGTCACTCCCGATCCGGGCAGGAGCACGACAGACCGGACGGCAGTACATCAGCCAGCCGTCACTCCCGATCCGGGCAGAAACACGGCAGACCGGACGGCAGTGCGTCAGCCAGCCGTCACTCTCGATCCGGGCAGGAGCACAACACACTGAGAGCCGGGGCGGAACCCCGCGGCGCCCAGAGCTTTCGTCGGCACGGCACCGCGGCCATCCTGGAGGGGTGCATCCCGAGGGTGGTCCGCGCAGCAGCAGCCCACCGCCGCGGCGCTCATCCAGTGTCGTTGGTGGTACGGTCGCTGGACGGTGCACTTTTTCAGCTTATGGGGCTGACGTCTAAAACCATACTTTTCAGAGGCCTGTAGAGTGGATTACATCTTACCAATTTCGATGGACCTGGCAGAGAGAGATTCTTTCTCATCTTGCATCAATCGTTTTATCTTCTTTGTGAAGAGGAACCATAGTCCCGTGGGGCGCTGGGTCAATGTTTTCTGTACGGTGCGCCATGAACTTCCAAACCATCGGGCGTCGTCGCTCGGTCACGGCGGGTAGCGCGCCGCGTCCATAATGGTGAGGTGTGCTCGCGACCTGGTTGGCCTGGGACAGTTACATAGACTTGCAAGTTGAGCTTCTGGTGAAGTCTTGCAATGAGTGCCGCGAAAACGGCGGGATAATGCTGGCCATGTGCACCGCAGGCCATTTTGTTGCCATCCAGCTGTTGATTTCATCAGGGATTATATTTGATCGGACCTTGTGCTACGAAGGGCTGTAGACAAATATTTGAATTTGACTTCCAAGGTACGTTTGGTGGAACTGTGTTGCTCAAAGGGAGTGTTTGGCATTGGAAGACGTTAAAGCAACCACAAGGTATGATAAAACAGGGTCACATTACTATTGGTATACTTTTAAATAAAAAAGGCTGCCCTAGACAACGCGATTCCCCCCTTTAGTATACATGCTCCTCAATGCGTCATTGATTGATTACGTCATTGCACCTTGCACAACACTGATTGAGAGCCAATCGACGGTCGCTTTATTTGAAAATGGTGCTCACGGACGCCAAATATGATTGGCTTAACAATTTGTTTGGTCTTGGGCGCCGCATTGCTAACGGAGTGACAGATTTCAATGACGTCATTATGGCGTCATGGATGCCTGGGTGACCTTGAAATAGTCTCCCCGGAAAACCATACATCTTTGTGGGTTTGTAGGTAAGGAACTAAAGGGATTTAGGTCTTAAGAAGGCTAGTGCTGTGAATTGCGCCAAATGATCTTCAAGGTGTCTCTTTCAATTCAGAACCTGATACAAATGTGAAGCACTCCCTTTAAGAAGTGATTACCGCATTTCACATTATCTTCATCCGTCCCGTCGCAATATTCAGGGGAGAAGGGTTTCCATCGGAGATTATCACAAATGATTGCCTGCAACTCATGTCTGCACAGCTTGACCGTTTACCCAGAGGGGGGGGGGGGAGGTATGGAGCAAAATGTTGCCGTTCTCCGAACCATTGGCCTACAGTCAACGATGCTGCACAACATTCGAGCTGGGCCTTGAAGCCCACAATTTATATTTTTTCTCGCTGCAATTTGTTCGTGGGAAGAGGAATTGCGGGGTTTTCCCACCCACACTGAGCTAGTCCAGACCCTGTTAGTATATTGTGCTTCCAGACCGCCATCTGGAAGAAGAGTTACGGCGCAAGTCAGCTCCGCTTAGCATACGTTTAGCTCTCCGCGAAAAGTCCGGTGGTAGCAGCGGAGAGAATGGCAAAAGAAGAGAAGAAAAGACTGCGACGGTCTGAGAACTAACTGGAACGGTCTAAGAACTAAAAGTACCGATTATCATGCCGCACCACCACGTCCCCTTCAAGGGCTCCGATGGATATGTTGATCTATCCCGGCGCTCCGGTGGATATGTTGATCTATCCCGGGGTTCCGGTAGATATGTCGATCTATCCCGGCGCTCCGGTGGATATGTCGATCTATCCCAGGGCTCCGGTGGATATTTTGATATATCCCGGGGCTCCGGTGGATATGTCGATCTATCCCGGGGCTCCGGTGGATATGTCGATCTATCCCGGGGCTCCGATTGATATGTCGATCTATCCCGGCGCTCCAGTGGATATGTCGATCTATCCCGGCGCTCCGGTGGATATGTTGATCTATCCCGGCGCTCCGGTGGATATGTTGATCTATCCCGGGGCTCCGGTGGATATGTCGATCCATCCCGGGTCTCCGGTGGATATGTCGATCTATCCTGGGGCTCCGGTGGATATGTTGATATATCCCGGGGCCCCGGTGGATATGTCGATCTATCTCGGCGCTCCGGTGGATATGTCGATCTATCCCGGCGCTCCGGTGGATATGTCGATCTATCCCGGGTTATTCCGCTGCAAAGGGCTTTTCGCAGAAAGGCAGCGTGGCAGAGAACTTGGGGACGACAACCACATCTAGGCATCAGGGCAGCCGCCGGACCTGGCCACAGACCCGGCCGACGGCCAGGCGCTTGGCTCGTCACAGTGTTGACCTACGTGGCATGGCAGCAGCTGTTACCTGGACGCCAGCTGCGGACACGGCGGAACGCTGCCGGCCGGTATCTGCTGCCCAGACGCCTGGTACCGCCGGGCCCTGTTTGGTGACGATGTGGGGCTTTGTATGGAAGGCGCACATCATGTTATTTGTTGAAGTTTGTTGTTTTGTTAGTTGTTTTTTGTTAGTTTGTTTATTGTACCGTGGCTCGCGATATTACATTTCCCTTTGCCCCCTCCCCCCCCCTCCCACCACAGCAGAGCAGTTTGAGTTCAACAGATTTCTTTTTTGTTAAGTTTAGAACGTGCCTTATACGCCGTGGCCTGGCCAACTGATCCAGCTCCACAATCATCTGATCTGTCACTGATCTACAACGGCTACATGACGACAGATCACAAGACTAACGACACTAACACTAATTACGTCCGCATAATCGGCCATGATCTGCCATAACTCTAAAAGTTATCCAAGTACACGATGTCCTAGCTAAGAAAGTTGGTTTAAACGGGCTGGCGGCCAGAGCTTTCCCCATCGCTATGCCCGATTTCCGTCGATAAAAGTCATCTGCAAACGAGAAAACAAATGGAAAGACTGCCCTAAGAGTTCGCAGATATTCTCTTTTAATGGGCTAGAAAACCAACGATAAAATAAGATACATTTACACGCGATGTACCGCTTATGATATGAAAACTATATATATATATATATATATATATATATATATATATGATTATAGATATATATATATATATTATGATTATACATTATATATATATATATATATATATATATATATATATATATATATATATATATATATATATATATATGAATCAGGGCGAGCTGCTGCAACCGTGACTCGCTGATTCAAAAGGTTTGAAGAATCAAAAAGCATCGGCAGGCAGTTTTGTCCGTGCTCCTCATGATATTTCGAAAATGGCTTATAGGTGAAATATAAATGCCTTCCTTTTTCTCGTGCGTGGGTGTTAGTTTGTACTACGTTTTGGTACTCAATCGACTGGGTCGGCCTCGTCACTCCATAGAATACGACGATTGAAGATATTTTTCCGCTCAGGTTTGGCTCAATTGCCAGCGTAATCTGGAATAAACACTGCAGTTGTTGCACAAGAAAAACCTCGCAATGCTTGTCGACGGTGCAGTTAGATGAATAATTCATACCATACCGTAGTTGTCTAATGTTTACCTTCCATCCGGTTGTGCCAATCTTAAGTAATCATCTCCTTGGAATTGTTTTTACTGCATTACGGGATCCGCGCACAATTTATTCGATGATGAAACATTCTGATGTGTGCACATCTAAGCTTTGAAAACATGTATCAGCATTTTGCACGTCTGCAATCCCCTTGTTTTGCAACCTACGGACGCAAATCGTCTTATTTGCCGTTCTATAATTCCTTCGTGCGCCTTGTCTCATCCACCCTACAACAAAGCTCACCAACGGAAGTGGTGCGCAATATCCTTGCGAACCATATACTTCCCGCCGTCTGCTGGGAAGTTGACGTCACCTCTCTGACAAGTAAACAAATTTTGAATTATGTGAGGATTTAAAAACTCCTACATAGCTTTGAAATCGTGTGAGCTGTGGCAACCGCAGGGCACCGCGCTTCCTTCCATTCCGAAAGCCCGAATTTTCCTTTTCTAATTTCCTATTTAGCGTCCTACTTAGATCTAATTTACTGGCTGCTACAGCTATTCTCAGTTAAAATAGCTCAGTTACCATTTTCTTGGCAGCTTCTAACATAAAGCTGCATCAATATCACGACCTCATCCAACATGTCTGGTGACTGTCAAGTATATCAACAGCGTAGGGATGTCTCGACGGCAGATCCGCTCGGTCCGATACGTCCGGCAGCGTCCAGGTCCCTGCCTCGAGCGGCGTCCTCGCGTGTCTCCTCGCGCGGGGCCGCCCGCCGTCTGGCACCCTCGCCGCTGATTGTGCTGGCGTGTATTGAGAGCGTGCAGGACCGGGCGGGCACTCGATCCAGCCTACATCGTCGAGCTAGTGGGAGTCCGTGTGGCGGAGTTTACAGGCGGGTGCGCTGCGGCGACAGCGTCAAGCGGCACCGACCGTCTGCGGCAGAGTGCGCCGGCGGCACCCACGCCCGCGCGCCGGCGATAGTCGAACGCTTTGGCACTACGGCCAGGCGACATCAGACGTCAGACGTCAGTCGCCGCTCTGGCGGACGCCTCTCCAGCTTACAAGGCAGCATCACAGGGCGCACCGTCGGATCACGGGCGCGCAGACGTCCGCAGAAGTCCGTCTCCACGGCCACTTCCTCGGATATGCTGCGACATGACAGTCCACTCAGCTTATCAAATCGCTCTACACGCTTGGTCGAGCTCGCTAGCGGTGGCGGCTAACTCGGCGCGGCGTTCGATTACACCTGTCTCGCAGACGGCGCCGCGATCGCAGAGGCACTGCCACGTCAGTGACGCGGCTCCCTCCCCACCTACGCACTCGCGCCTTGAAACATCCCTCACCGAGAGTGCCTTTAGAAAGCGAGCGTCGTATACAGTTCACTCGTAAAAAGGTGACCCAGTCCAGGATCACGCGGCCACTTCAGGCTTCCCGGCGGTATGCAGAAGACGTTCGCTTCAGTTGTGCGGTCCCACTGAAGCGCATCGCTCAGAAGTCGCGGTCCCGCTGAAGCGCCTCACTCAGAAGTCCATGAAGATCTCCTCGATCGGGTAGGCCGCCTCAATAAACTTCTGATAAAACCGCTGAAAGGCTCGCCTGAAACGATACGGTAAATCCGTCATAAACCGAGCAACAGGCATCGCGCAGACCTAACCAAAACACGTGCGTAGCATCTTGAAATATTGAAATTGCTCCGCAATTTCAAATTGTGACAAAAATTTTCATTTTGAAATTGCTCCGCTCCTGGAATTTTGAGACTGCCCTGCACGGCCCGCGCCACGCCAATACCCCTGCGCTGAGCCGTGCCTTTTTCTCATACCATCTTCAAAGATATCGGTTAGAGCGATGCAGCAGGCTAGTTGAGTAGGCGAGTCTGTGTGGGGTATGCTGGTGGCCAATGTGACCTCCACCGCTTTGTGGCCTCTGCTGGGATGGCGCTGGACAGCGACCGGGTGGCCCGAAAGACGGAGCATCGACCACCTGTTTTTGTGGGGGCCGTGATGCATTGAACGCATGCAGCAGTTTTTGTAGAGCTCTCCGTGGATTGGGACTGCCTTCGGGTCGTAACTGAAGGCATGGATTTGGGCTCGCACCGGAGAGTGACAAAATAGTACGAATGAGCACTGCGTACAATCTGAGATAGATAACAGTGGCCTGAAGATGCAAGAGTTAATGTTAGCAAAGGCACCCCTGTTAATTTACGCCACATTTCCTTACTAACGAGATTGAAATCAGTGGATCGATACCGGTGATCGCAGAAACATTTTTCTTATGGATAGATAAATTTTAGTAAGTCTGATGTCGAGGTCATTAATTTGGATTTGTGGGCTAACTTAAACTTAAATTTCTGGATGGACTTTGACACAAACAGAAAACATGCTTTTATGACTTGACACTAGATAGTATGCACTGTGTTGCGTTTGCTGCCAATCATAGCATGTTTGTTATTATGATGCAAATGTTTGGCGGTATCATGAAACGCATGGAATCAAATGAAGTACAACTTGAAGCTATGAAATCAATGGGGATGTCCGCCTCCTTTCAACACAGCTAAGGAGTTGCATCAACATTCTAAAGGTTTGGAAAAATAACCCAACGGGGCATGAATAGTTTCCAAGCCTCTTACCCGATGGCTTCGGCCACTGGTCTTGTGGATTCTTCTGAGACGAAGACGTGACAGGCGAACTTCAAGTCCTGCGGGTGTTTTGTGACAAACCCAAAGTACTTGTGGTTTTGTGGATGGAACCCACAGAAAGAAACGTTCTTGATTTCATAGAAGTAGTCGTGACAGAGCACGTGGTTGGGCTGAAAGCAGTCAGCACATGTAGGGTTATTGATGGGAAGGTCCGTGCAATCACGGAACCATCGGTATTGAACAGACATGAGGAGCAGATTTCCGACTCTCTGCCTACCTTTGATAACACCGTTTGATCAGTTCAGAACGGCAAATCGGCTATGGGGACGATTGTATTGCAACTGCAAAGCCAGAGGAGCAGATACTGGAGCCTGGAGCGTGGTGGTAGAGTCCCGAGAACCCCGAGGTGAAGAGTTCGAAATCGGCCCCGCGGACGCTGCTATGTTTTTCATCACTTAATGGTTCTGGAAAATGTCGCGAAGTCAGGACAGTTTGATGAGTCGTCAAGTCACCAAACCATGTCGTCAAGCCATATCGTCAAGCCATATCATCAAGCCATGTTAACAACTCAGTTATAAAAAATAATGCAAAAGAGGCACTGTTGTTCCCGTTCTAATATCTCAACTGTCCTATCCCTTCGGTCTTCAAACCTCAAGTCTTCAAACTTCAAACCAAAGTTGGAACGCGGTCTCACATTACAGGAATCTGAGTCACAGTCCGCGTCGTGGTACGCTGAGCCAAAACGCAAGTAGCAGCTGAGCGTTTTCTCATTTCAAAACATTTTATTTTGCAAGTGAAGTATGGCAGCATACAAAAGGGCTCAGAGGCCGCCATTGCTGGTAAAGCTGGTAAAATACAAATCTACATCATGTGCATCGCACATTTTTTGGTGCTCCTAGGTCTAAGACAAAGTCTCAATGATGGATGCTTATTGGATCATTTACCGACGTATGTCACAGTGCTAAAGACATTGACACCCTGACCGCTCGTGGGAACTGAGGCTGGTGAAGGCTTCCTGCAGCGGGACCTGGACCGGTACGTTTTATTTTAAACGAGCCAAATGTATTCAAGAAAGCGGAAACTTTGACCTCTTCTGCTTCTGAGTCCAACACATTTGCTTTTTCGTGAGTCCGAGGCGAATTGTGCCTCTTGAGTCGGAGTTCCAAAGGGTGGACGAGCTCTAATGGTAGAGTCTGGTCCGTCTCTAGACCCATATGTGCCTTACCCTCCCTCGCCCCGCCCCTTCTACTCCCCTCCCACGTCCCTACTCACGGCCGGCTTGCTCTTGTCGATCATGCGCACGCCCTGGTCGGAGATCTCCAAGATGCAGGGGTAGGCGTAAGCAGACTCGGCCGGCTCTGCCGCCGCCACCGGCCGCGCCTCACCCATGATCTTGGTCACCGCCTGCGTGATGACGGCGATGCCCTTGTGGCGCATGGCCTCCACCGAGCCGAGGTAGCCCAGCAGGTAGCGCTCCTTGCGCACCGGAGGCACGGCCGGGTCGAACTCGGCGTAGTCCACGTCCGTGACGTAGGCGGAGGGGAACACGCCGCGCAGACCCGTCCTCAGGTTCACGCCTGTAGACGGGGGGGATCGTTGGCTGGGAACCCCGTGGATAGGCCGCTCAGTGGCGCACTGATTCACGTTCTGTGTCGCGCGGTGTTCTACTTGTGTGAGAGCTGTTCTCATTTGCGGCTTTTATGCTTGTGGAGCGCGCTTTCATGCGCAGCGTGCATTTGGCCGCGAATTGCGTCTTTGCATGCGTGGTGAGTGTTCGCATTAGTGCCACGCGTTTCCATTTCGTGTGTATCTGCTTTGCGGTAACGACTGATAATGTGCCCTGTTCTTATGTTTTTGTTAGCACCGTTCTTGCCTGTTTTTTGTGTGTAGAGTGCGGTGTGGTTCGTACCAGGGCCTTTTTCGAACATGCAGCTGCGCTGACCATCACTTATCTGTCAAGTGAATGACTGATCGCCAGATAGCAAGCTCAGGTCGTGCTAATGCAGCAGGGACATGATTGCCGCATGAAGCGCTGGGCTGTGAAGAATCCTGATACAAAAGTCATTGGTCATGGATTGGTGGGGTGGGGTATTCAGCTTAATGGACTGGGACGAAGCTCGGCTTGGACGCACGGATGGCTTGAGGTTTAATGGAACACCCACCGTTTACAACCCTGAAAAGGCATGCAACGGTTGCGCGGAATGTTGGTGAGTGACTGAGTCGCTTGCCCGCTTGGAAACAAAGGCAATCGGGACGACGTCTTGCAGATTTTGTCTCGTATAGCAAGTAACCAGTGGAGACGTCCAGCCGTTGCCACCAGTGATGCAAACTCGTGTTCAGGCGTGCCTACTGCAGGTCGGGCCCAGTCGCAGGCATTCCGTTGCTCTATCAGAGACACTTCGCGGGTCGTCTCGTATTACCTGTGCACCAGAGGTCGTCGGCTTCTTTGATCACATACACCGGGTCGCCGATGTCAATTGTTATCTCATCGTGGTGTCGGGGCTCGAACTTGTAGAGACCTCTGTGCGTAGCCTCCAGAAGCTCTAGTTTTGTGCAGATGGCAGCGCTGGGCGAAACTGGTGACAGTACTCCTGCGTTGTGACACAAAAGAAACAAAAACATGAGCATTAGTTAGCCGTTCGAGGGAAGATCTCTCAGTGTTCGTAGCCAGAAGTGCATTTGTAAGCATGTTGATAAGTTTGACTTTTCTCGTCCGATTAAAGAAATCCCAAAAATGAAACGACGAATGTCAGGCGAGCAGGTTGATGCCTTCCGGGCGTGGATCCGAGCCGGAAAGCCCAAGTTCGAGGCTGAGAATCCTGCCGTCGCGAGTACGAGTCAGAATCCCGAGCTCACCCTTCCCACAACACCTGAGTCCGAGGACGATTCCATCAGTCTTGCCGCACCAGATTCCGAGGCCACCCGTTCACATCGTGTGAGTCCGATGCCATGCATTCTGCAGTGTAGTTCTCTTATTTCAGAGACGTGAATCCAAATCCTACTCTTTGATTCCCATCCCCGAAACATTAACTCTGAATCCACGTGTTGTTACAGAATCGATCTCATGGATACGAAAACAGCTGGCGCAATGACTGAACAGCCTAAGTAAGACCTATTTGGCCAGAACAATATAACAGTGCATAGTAATAGGGGTGTAGTGAATTATTGCCGACGGAACCACTCGAAGGATATAGCTGGGAACCGACGGGCATATGGCATCAACAGTTCTTCCTTGCACCTTCTGGGGCGTCCTGATGTTGCGTTTTGGGGTACTCTGGTAGCAAATGTGTCATCAGATGCCCCTCGAGCGTTTTGTTTTTCGGTGCTCATGGAGGGGGCACCTCTTCGCGAAGGAATTTACACGGACCTGTGTAGACCCCCAATAACTATGCCCTTGTCGATAATTCTCCTGGGCGTCAAGCACCGTTACAACGGCTACTTATTCTTGTAATGTTACAAGCTCAAAGGAGATGGTGGGTAATCTTGGGGCTAACGTAATTGCAAATGTCAAACGTACTACAGAAAAATGTGATAAATGTCGGTCGCACAAATCAGTACAGGTCTGCCGGCAACTCCAGCCATCAAGGTAGACCCCCGAGTGACAATGGCATTTTCCAATCACGTTGGAAGCGGTTTAAAGCAGGTCAAAGTCTGTCTTGGTGCGTGGACCTCGTCGGGTTGACAACCCGGTCCAAAATAATAATGCGGACATAAACAACAGTTTTTAGAACTATGCGTTACGTCATCAAAGATATGAGCTGTAACCAATAGCGTTATGATATTTAGATGACAGCCATATGTAGATAAAGTCAAGTGGAATTCTGCGCTTTTATTACCCATGGCGTTGGAACGCAACTGACAATACGTACAACCAAATATGGGCTATGAATAGAAGATACGCTTTTGTGGATGACTTCACGAATGCAGTAGTACTTCGAAATCGATACCAGCTACCCTCGCATGATGTGGAAACGAAGCTTTCTATTCCATTTTCAAAACGCATGCATATAATCAGAACCTAATCGGAATGTACCTTAACGATATGCAAGACTACTTTGCTGCTCTGTGACTGCTGGCAAGGGTGAAGTCAGTGGGATATGTCATTATGTAAGGACTGAAAAGAGTTCAATCTAACCAGCTTTAGTTTGACCAAAACTGGTTTCAAACCTATGGGTACGCGCGGACCAATTCACGTTTCAGAAATTGGAGCAAAATTATTTCGAACAAATAGTGTAGCTAGAAGCGTAACAACTATCAACGAAAACGAGACGTCCTTCGCTGGCATTCGCATTGCTCGGGTTGATCATCAAGTAAGAGAAAATTGAAAAAGTATGGCAGTAAATATGGATGGTAGCGACCAATGGTAAGTTACGATAAAAATTGGATGTTGCACTAAAGACAACAGGCTTTCAAAGCATTCCGGTGTTGCTGAATTTTTTTGCATTTAAAAATTAGATGTGTAGATAGCCGAAAGTGGGTGATCACACAGCTGTCGCTGAGGGACCAGGCAGTTGCGTATGTATGTATATATATATATATATATATATATATATATATATATATATATATGTATATACAACAAAATACTCATATACATACGAAGAGAGAGAGAGAGATTTATATATATATATATATAAATTTATATATACATAAGAGAGATAAGTTGAGTATTTCGCTATGAGACAGCTGAACGTTTGTAAAACATATGCTGTTTTGATAGGGTTCCTGTGGTCACTGATGAGAAACAAAACTTCCCTCGGGACTGTGGTGGCGGCCCTATTGAAGGAGGTGGCACGATATAACGCGGTAAAAACAGTTCAGAGTAATGAAGGAGGTGGCGATGTGAGGCCCACTGGGAGGCCTGGTCGACGTTAAGCCGGTTCCATGCGGTCGTGGTGGATTCAAGTCCGTAAGTTTGCATTAGGTCTTAATTTGCTTGAGCTTGAATCTGAGTCTGGGTTTTTAGTCCCAAGCTTAAGGAACAGCTGATTCCGGGCCTGTGACACATCAGCCATGTGAGTCACAGTCGCCGAGCGTCACAAGTCCGGAATGGACCTCGAACCCGGCCGGCCACGGACCCGTGCCCAGTAACTGACGGCCTGTTTCCATGATCATGTGGAACAGATGCGCCGGTTGAGGTTTTGATACAGCCCGCTCTAAATGACAACCGGCACATGAACGCTGTTTGCATCGATCAACTAAAAAAAACGACACCTCTTTCAAGTTCGATACCGTCCTCGAGACAGCGGGAGCAAGAGACGCCAATCCGCAAACCGCATACGAACGGCGAATCTGACCAGACAAGCTTTCGAGACGGCCCATACCAGCGCACGACCAGACAACCTTCCAGACGGCCCATACCAGCGCGTGACCAGACAACTTTCGAGACGGCCCATACCAGCGCGTGAACATACAACTTTCGCGACGGCCCATAGCAGCGCGTGAACATACAACTTTCGAGACGGCCCATAGCAGCGCGTGACCAGACAGCTTTCGAGACGGCCCATACCAGAGCGTGCCTGCGAGTCAGCAGTGCCTCAGTCAGTCCACCGTGCTAGGATAACGTCACCAGTGACCCGGCGAGTTGGGGAGGGGGGGGGGGGGAGTCACCTGGAGTCGTGCAGTGGCGGCGCAGCCGGCCGCAGCCGTCCGGTGAGTGAGCGGTCGAGTTGCCCGAGTCGCCGTCCGTGCAGCCGTACAGGATGTCCGAGTCGGGCGAGCTGTCCAGATCTGAGGGAGGAGCAGCGCCACACGGGGCGTGTCAGCCGCACGGACGGCAGCCGAGGACGCGTTCCTCCGCGACATATATTGGGTACGTTGTCAGGCGTGCTGACTGCTGGCCACCCTGCTACTGGGGGTCGTGTGCGAGGCATATTGCTGGTTGTATTTGGTTTTACGAGGCATCTTGGCGTAATAAGGCCCCGGAGCTAAGGGGCATCTTCAAAACTATGGTGTGCTAAAGCTTCGTGTTACATGTACCGTGGTACAGCTACATGAAACTCACGTGCGTTGTAATGACCGATGCCACTGAGGACATGCTGGCGGAGGGCCACACATTGAGAACATCCTAGCGAGGAGTCACACATTTAGAACATTCTAGTGGATGGTCACATATCGAGAACGTCCTAGTGGAGGGTCACACGTTAAGGACATCCTAGTGGAGGGGTACACATTAAGAACATCCTAGTGGTGGGTCACACATTGATGAAATCCTAGTGGGGTTCACACATTGAGAACATTCTAGCGGAGGGTGGTACATTGAGGACATCCTAGTGGAGGGTGACGCATTGAGAATATTCTAGCTGAGGGTCACGCGTTTAAAGAGATTCTAAAAGCCTTCCAGAAATCGCCAACAAACACCAACAAGATTTGTTTCAAAACGCCCCGGACATTATCAGCAAATTCCTTTGAAGAGTGCAGCACGCGCCAGATGCCGCTAACTGGTGGAGCCGCCGGTACCTTTGGGCAGGTGCTGGCACTTCATGACGTAGAGAGGCTGGCCACCGGGCCGGTCACCGGCCGGCCGGTCCGCCATGCCCAGCTCCGACGCCAGGCTCAGGTGGGACGCCAGCCGCAGGTGTCGTGACAGCGCTGCAACACGCGGGGCGAGGCGGTGATGCCGCTGGCACGAGTCGCAGAGGCGAGCGGCAGGGTTGGTACAGGTCGCAGAGGCGAGCGGCAGGGTTGGTACAGGTCGCAGAGGTGAGCGGCTGGGCTGGCACGGGTCGCAGAGGCGAGCGGCAGGGTTGGTACAGGTCGCAGAGGCGAGCGGCTGGACTGGCACGGGTCGCAGAGGCGAGCGGCTGGACTGACACGGGTCGCAGAAGCAAGCGCCAAGGCTGGCGCGGGTTGCAAAGGCGGGCGGCAGGGCTGGCATAGGCCACAGAGGCGGGCGGCAGGGCTGGCATAGGTCGCAGAGGCGACCGGCAGGGCTAGCACAGGCCGCAGAGGCGGGCGACATGGATGAAACGCGCGGGTCAAGGTCACTGACGACAGCGCTGAAACAGATGGCAGTGGCAGACGCGGAGGTGGTAGGGGATCCACGACATCAAACACTGTTGCATGATTTTGCACAGTGAGGGATCACAGAGCTGAAATGCGCGGGCTCTTCAATCAGACGACCATTCTGAAGCATAGAGGTCACGGTCAGCACCATTCGCAAGCCAGACGGCAGAACACATTTGGTCATACTCCGCTCTTCACCACATCGGATGACACAGTCAGATCTTACAGGGCCGCACAACCAGCTGCGCTTGACGTGTGCGATCGGAGGACCGTGCTGCTTGACGTATGGGGTCGGGGGACGGTGCCGCTTGATGTGTGGGGCCGAAGGACAGTGCTGCTTGATGTGTGGGGTCGGGGGACGGTGCCGCTTGATGTGTGGGGCCGAAGGACAGTGCTGCTTGATGTGTGGGGTCGGTGGACGGTGCCGCTTGATGTGTGGTATCGGAGGACCGTGCCGCTTGATGTGTGGGATCGGGGAACGGTGCCGCTTGATGTGTGGAGTCGGTGGACGGTGCCGCTTGATGTGTGGTATCGGAGGACCGTGCTGCTTGATGTGTGGCATCGGAGGACCGTGCTGCTTGATGTGTGGGGTCGGGGGACGGTGCCGCTGATGTGTGGGGCCGAAGGACAGTGCTGCTTGACGTGTGGGGTCGGGGGACGGTGCCGCTTGATGTGTGGTATCGGAGGACCGTGCTGCTTGATGTGTGGCATCGGAGGACCGTGCTGCTTGATGTGTGGGGTCGGGGAACGGTGCCGCTCGATGTGTGGGGTCGAAGGACAGTGCCGCTTGATGTGTGGGGCCGAAGGACAGTGCCGCTCGATGCGTGGCATTGGAGGGCCGTGCCGCTTGTGCCCCCCCCAGCCAGCTTTGCCCGCCTCGCCAGCTTCCGCGCCATATGGTGAGGAGAGAGCACCACCTGTGTTTTCTATTCCACATTCGATGTGTTGGGGCGAAACACCTAAAATGGATCGATAACCTTTGACACGTAAACTACACCTTATGTTCCGTTGGCCGTGAGGCTAATCAAAGACCAGGTCAAAACCAGGTCAAACTATGGTTTTTCGTAAGAACGCAGCCTTTGCGTACAACCAGAGTATAGTTATGGCAGGATAGATAGCGGGTGGAGTACGCGCTATGCACGTAGTTTCAAGTGGCTATGTGAGGTTTCCTTATGTTACTTTATGACCCCTATGACCTTGTTCCGGGATACCCTTGCACCTACGAGTTACGACCTTCCTGTAGGAATGACATTTACACACCATACGAGCTCTTTTTGCTTTTGGCTGTTTTCGCAGGCTTCACTTAACGCAACCTTGACCTTAAACGACCCCTGCACAGGCATGGAGGCCATTTTACCGACTTTGCTTATGATGCAGTGTTTCAAACCAAGTCTTAAATAATTATCAGAACTTAGCTGATACACACCTAACCCGGAATGAGGCTAGTAAAGGCCGCGGAGTGTGATAACTGATACGTTACCAACCAATATCAATATCTTATAAATGTGAATAATACTACCTTGTTATGTCGATGACATGATGCGGTGGCACTCCAACTTTCACACCATCAAACCAGCGCAAAAATCTCGGGCACACAGACCTAACAGAATGTGATGAACCGCAAATTATCCGCATTTCCGACATGCCCTCTCAAGAATGGGTTCACAGGGCCATCAAGTGATAAACTAGGGACCTTTTTACAGGGCAGTTATAGTTTGGTTTAACTCAGCTATTCAAAGCTATTTCGCGCATGCAATGAACAGTTCTGGAGATGTATCCATGAAACCGGAAGTTGCACCAATCCTCTGGTCTGGAGAAGGTCAAGACGCATCAAGATCGTTTTGATAAACGAAGCCTCCCGCGAAAACAAGAATCGAAAAGAAATGAAATATTTCACATTAAGTCCAGTATCAACTTATAATCACGCAGATGGTACAAAACATATTAAATAATTGTGTTTGCAGAGCTCAAGCTGAGTGATTTTCTTCTCCTACCGCATTCAGCTTGCGCGATTGGTGCTGTCATCTGTTCTCCTTTGACATGCAGCGCGGGGCAAACAAAAGAAGAAGAAAACAAAAACAGCAGATACTTATATGTAAGTTTACATGCAAGCATACGCTTTCACTTACGTCTTTTACTTTTTGGTATTTCTGGCAGGCGGCGACGGCGCGTTACGCCGCGTTGTGGCTCGACTTCGACCTCTGACGGCTGCGACTCGTCCGGGGTCACGACCCAGCCGGAAGGCACCCATTCCCCCGAGTCCTGGCGCACCTCTGACACGTCCTCGCCGGTCGAGTCGTCGCTGGACGTCTCGGCCGCGGCTGCCTCGCCCATGAACACATCGTGCACGAGTCTGTCGAAGGAATTTTGCGGTCACCGATCGACCTACACGGGCTCTGAGTCTCGTGGACAGCTTCACAGGCCAGCGAAATGGAATGGCCCGTGACACGAACTTGCGACGGCGAGAGTACATCCGCGTGATCCTCACATACTGCTTTGTTAAACGGTGCCATAACACACAGCTTTCGTAAACACCAAATGACGTCAGCGGCATGAGTGAGCGACGATCCCTGCCTGGGGCGGTGGGCCAGCCCCTGGACAAACGGCGGTCTCTGGCGGGGGGCACCTCTCGTGCAGGCCGGCCCATGGCCGAGCTGCCTGTAGCTCACCTGTACGACTGTTCCGGCGCCTTAATGTGCTGCGGAAGCTGGTCAAAATACTGCCGAAACTGCTCAAACTCACTATCGGCCATGATGGCACCGTCCGACGGCCGGCGTCGGGCGGCGTGCGCAACCGCCTCGCCGAATCGATGACCAGCCGTCGGCGGGGAGGGGGACGATGCGGCGGGGGCGGGGGCGCTGCCGTCCGGGCCGGCGGCCGGGGCGGCCTCCTGAGGCAGAGCACGTCCGTCGCCGCTGCGGCGTTAGTGTGTGGGGAGTTGTGGTGGGCCCACGGCCGGCTCCTGCAGGCATCTGTCTTGCTGAAGTCATTCCGCAGGGAAAGAAGACAGATTCGTCGAGTGTTGGCTCCTCAATGAACGCTCTATCCTGTAGCTTGGGACAAGTAGGGCTTGAAACCGCTGGCAATGGAGGGGAGCCTGATTCCCATCTCCATGCCTGCACTCCGCTTTAACTTTGGAAAAGACCTTTGCATGCATGTGGCCCGATGCCGCTCCCGCACATGAACATACAAGTGCTGCCCCGAATATAAGTGGAGGACTCTTCACCAAGCGTCACCGCGCAGTCGAGGATGGATATTGTTGGAGGCTCGAATAAGCCATGCCAATAGAGCATTCAATCGTAGAGTTGCTCCTCTCGAAGTTAATTTGGCGTCTCGGCATCCAGTCTCGTTGTTATTCTCGCGTCGTTTGATCAGCACAACCCACGTCAGGCAGCAAACGCCAGGCGCCAGCAATCTCCTACGACGAATGAAGCACTAACACTTAAACTTTTCATCAAAATAGCTTGCAATCTGTGCGTTTCATTCACGCGTGCACCGTCGAAGCCCTCCCGCGGCCCAGCCCAGTTGGATCTCGTTATCCGGAGATGAGATGGCCCGAGCGCGAGCCAAGTCCCAGCTCGCAATCCCAGCCCCCATCTGCGCTTGGATGGGACTGGCCGGCTGCCGCCCATCGCCTCCCTCGGCGGCCGTGGGCTGGAATTCAACGGTCCAGGCTCCCCGGCACGGAGGTGATATCCGAGCCGCGTTTGTGACGTCACGCCCCCACGTCCGCGGGCTCAGCAGGGTTCTCCTCGAAGTCGCGGGCCCTGCACTGGCAACAGCGATGTACGGCGCTGTGTGTCAGTTTGGTTTGCATGTTTGTTTACTCTGCAAACGAGGTGTATGAAAAAGTGACATTGACCCTTTACTTTGGAATGGCCTCAGGCGTTAGCGGCTGGGTCTCTAACGCACGATGCCCGGTATCATTTGTTCCAGAGGACCACAGCATGACATTCCACCACAGAATGCCCTGTCATTTGTCACACTCAACCCGCGACACAATGTCCAACGGACGTCGCTACCTCGCCACTTCACTGGATGAGCGAGAAGATGTCCGAGCGTCGGAACGGCGGCGCTTGCCGCGGCGACTCAGTCCTCCTCAGTCCTCCTCAGCGTCACGTGCAGCCACAGGCCACGTCGGAGAGCCGCAGCAGTGCGCGCTCTGTCGACCACGAGCACATATGTTTGTGCAGGGTCGAGCAGTTTTTCACAGAAATGTGAACTTTGCCCATTTCACGACGGTTTATGAGTAGAAGTCGCAGAGGCGGATTCGGAATAAAAGATGAGAAGAGAAGGAACAGCAGCATTTTGGGGGACGTTTGTGAGAAAAGGTCCTTTCTGTCTGTTTCTGGTCAGCATCCAACGCGCCTATGCTTCGTAAGCTTGAATACCAGAGTCTGGGTAGCAGAATCGAATGCAACAGTGCTGCTGAAAGGCGAGCAATGCAGTCAATGCAGTGAATATTTCTGCGTGTTTAACCCGTGCACTTAAACGATCTAATCACTCATAAATCCAGGTGATTTATTTGGACTAGTTGACGTCTCTGCTTGTGTTAACAACGTCTGACATCTCTTTTATTGACAGTTTGCCCTTAGCAGGCCTTATTTTCTCCATGCACCATAACTGCTTATTCTAAACATAGATGGCGATGCCATCGAGTGATATTTTCATGCAACTAAGGCAGGCAAAGGGTCAAGGATCATGCCAGTGGTTTACAGTGATCATGCACCCATGATGCATGATCACAATCACAGTCATCATGCCCATGTGCACCGACGACTTCGCTTCTTCCACAATTAACTTTCCAAATGAGTTGATAATGGCCAGCGGCAGACAAAGTGGATGCTATTCATTTAGCAAGTGCCGATGTGGTGAAGCATAATATTGGCCCTTAGTTCCTACAGTTTTTTCTCATTCTGTAGCATCGACATGGTCATAACTGGTCGAGCGAGCTCCCCGTTATAGAAAAATGCATGCTCTTTGGGTCGATAATGAATGTATCACTCAAGGAAACATTTTAAATCGAGAACCGCAGATGCATTTTGCTCTGAGCAATGAGGAAAAATTGAGCGACAAATACTCTCTGCCTTTATTTATGTCCACCGCCTAAACCTCATAGTTCAAAAATCCGCATCCACATGTCAATGAATAAAAACTGCAAAGACCCAGGTAGTCACGGGTAGCTGGGTCTTTGACCCAACCACCGACGGATGGCTTAAGTGCAAAGAATCCGAGTTCCGCAGATGGCAGAGATCCAGAAAAGTGCCCGAAATGTGTTTCCGTCATGCTAATCTTAGATAAAGTCACTGATGAATGCCTGAGGATGCATGAGGCTGCATCAGATCATTTCCTGCAATGTTCAACTATGAGATTCTTTATCAGGTGTAAGTATCACCAGATTCAGGGCATTGTCCAAAGTAGGAAGTGATACATTCTCCCATATCTTGGGATATTGGTCACTGACTTTCTGCCTGCGACCCTCCTTACTGGCACATAATGCTGTGGCATGCATGGGTACAATTGACATTCTATTTCGCAACTGGCATCGTTCTTCCGTTTCCCGTTGGTTGTGACTTCGCTGACTGATCGAGACATCTGACGGTGCACACGCAGGGGAAGGACAGGGGAAGGGGAAGGAGAAATGCAACCACCTCTCGGCGAGCTCGGAAAGACACCGCCCACCTGCCACGCCCGGAATTGTTTGCGCAGCGAGCAGAGGCGCCATCGTAGCTCTCAGGGGAGCAGCTGCGCTCCAGGTCACAAGAACATCAAGTGTCGCCCAGGCGCCGAGGTCGATAGCTGTTTCCGGAGCTGTTTCCGGAGCCGGTGCCGGGATGGGGCGACCACGATCAGCGCCGCGTCGGCTCGAGGCACGCGCCAGACAAACAAAACCTACCGCTACCATGCAGAGTCTGAAAGGAAACTATTCCCGCGTGAATCCAGCGACGTCAAGTCGGGCACACGGATGTCAAATGTGTGAGCGTATTACGTAATCAAATGGACCTTGCTCTGGAGCAGCACGATGCGTACGACCATGCGAGTGAGAACTGGCCGCTCGGTGGGGGACTCGTGGTCACATTGGCACTGGTGGTGGGCGGCCTGCTGTTTCCGCGCTCGCGAGAGAGTCAGGAAGCTGGTCGGACCACTGATGGACGGAATAGTAGCCCGGCGACCTGTGAAGAATCCGGGTACGGCCGCGGCCTGCGGGAAGCACCGCAGCTCCTGACAGTGCCGCGCCGGCGGCGGAGGAGGCAGCCCCGCCAGAGTGCTTCCCGGCGTTCGTCGAACGCGGCGGACGGTGAGTGGTCCTGCTGCGAAGCGCCGCTCGGACGGAGGGACAAGCCGGCCGGTCGTCCTGCGCCCGTGGGTCGTACTGCTCTGTAAGACCTGTAAGTACGGCCCCCTGCCAGTTCGGCTTATACCGCGTGATCCCGCTGTTCGGAGATTCCATTAACAGCACCTAATCCTGTCACGTCGGGTGAGCCATCCATGTTACCTTATTTCCGTTTCTAGTCACCCGTTAGTCGGACGCTCAGCTGTCGTCGCTGGACGGGCTGGTCCGGTGCGCGGGCATTTGCGGGCGTCTACCGCATCAAGAAAAGTAAACTTGTCGCTCTCAGATTAACTCACAACTGCATCCAGTTTGAGCAGTCTATCATAATAATAAACATGTCGGAATAATAAATAGAAGCAGTTTGATAAAGTTGTGGAACAAAAGAAATGACACCAAAAAATCACTCAAAAGAAGAAATTTAAAGAAGCAGTGGCTACTACAAGAAATAGAACGACGAATAAAAGATACTTTAAGTAATACGATCAATACAAAAATGCACAGACCACATACTAACCACGTGTCGACCATGACCTACTTAAAGGGAGCGTTTCACATTTGAAGATATTAAAGCAAACATCAGATAGGAGGAAACAAGCTTACTTGCAAACTATTGGTATACTTTTAAGTGCAAAAGACTGCTCCAGACAAAGCAGCGCTCTGTTTAGTAAATGTGCTCCTCGTTACGTCGTTGTTTGAGTGCGTCATCGTACCTTGCAAGACATTGATTCACAACCAATTGATGACCTGTATATCCGGAAATTTTGCTCACCAACGCCAGATATGAACGACTCGACCATCACACTTGTATTGGCCTTGATCACCGCATGACTTATGCGATGTCAGGATTTGAATGACGTTATTATGACTTTATAGATGACTGAGCGACTTTGAAATACTCTATCCGAAATAGTCTGCACATCTTCGCGGTCATGTAGCTCAGAAACTAGAGTGGTTTAGGTCTTAAGAAGAGCAGGGCTGTGTACTGCGCCGAATGATCTTCAAGATGGTTATTTCAGCTCAAAACCCCATAGAAATGTGAAACACTCCCCTTAAGCCCACGCCCACGGGGGCAGCTTATGCCGCACAGGAGCTCGCTCATCACTCGGTGCTTCCCTGAATGGAACGTGATTGATTGGCTTTTACTCGCACTCACGGTATTGAAAGTGGAGGGTCAGCTCGCCGAACCGCCGTATGGCGCCACGAGCGAGCTGAAGTTCACATTGTACACTGCAATCGAGTATACAAACCTTGCACCGAATTCATCTCGAGGTTTTCTTTTCAACACACCCGCAGTGCAATCAAGTGTTATGCGTAACGTGCCGTCTGGTCCATGGTCGGGCCAGGGGGAGTTGCAGGTGGCATCGACCGGCCCAGCTGCCGGTTTGGTGGACGGCAGCTCCCGGGCTCGCTGCCGGTCAGTAGACGGCAGCTCCCGA